AATAGCAAGCAATTTTTCCTTTATTTTGCTTAGAGAGAAAAGGTTTCTTTCAATTTTATTGTTTTTTGTTTCCCACTATAAGCTATATTGTTTTTTTTTTTTTTTTGATCTTTCTTTGGGTAAGAGTGGTGCTAGTTTATAATTAAGTTTCAAGTCTTACAAATAGTGCAAACTTATCAAGACACGACAAGGTGAGTGAACTTATTGTATCATTGGGACGGCATGCAATATATCCCCGATCCATTGCATCGAAAAAATTCTACGGACGGCACGTATCGTCTCAAGAAAGCAACCTAGTTGTACCTCGAGACAATCACCTATAAAAATTATGGTAAAGCTACTTTGATGTTTTTCATTCAAAATTTTCGGGTAATATTTTTCTATTTTTTCAACACTTTCTTCCTTAATCGGATCTCGGAATTAAAGAAAAGAGATGGTTTTTAAAAAATACTCAAATTACCTTTCAAGTGATTAAAATTCCTTCTTCACATAGGTTTCAAGATTGGACTCTCGGCAAATTTTGAGCCATCCTCTAACCAAGAGGGAAGCTCAACACGACACCATAAATATATGTGATAAGAGATAAATATTATAATAATAATGGCAGTGGTAACGTGTCATTTGTCTTATTCAAAAAGGTAAAACCCTAGAATTAGTTAGGGAAAATGCATCGGTTTGGTCTATATATGGGAACGCACATGTTGCTGGAGGAAATAAGGTGTGTGTACGTGAGAGCAAGGTGGGAAGGGTAAAGACAGGAGTTTATTCTCAGAGCCAATGCCCGATTCCATCCACCTAATGGGAAAGAGAGACGAGGAACAACGAGATAGCGACCTTTGTCCTTGCGCCCCAAAAAGACATATTTGTCAATCTGGCTGCTAACTTGCTAGAGAGAGTTTACAAAGATTATATATATATATACACAATGCTGATCAGCCAAGCCAGAACAAAACCTTATTAATTATACAGCTTGTAAAGAATAATTTGGTTTTCTTAGGACAGTGACCCTTCTGTTGGAAGGTGATTTTCGGGACTTGGAGTTAGCATGGTCACGCACCTTTTAATCTGTTTCTATTTTTTTAAAAAAAAAAAACTGTCGTTTTTCAAAACAAACAAATAAATAAAATTGCGTAATATAATTAACCCGTGAGAAGTATTTTGAAGACTGTGTTTTTTTAAAAAAAACAAACAAACAACCAAATAAATAAATTAGGTAACAGTGAGGATGAAGACCCAAATTCTATTTTTACATATATGACTATGAAATGTGTGTGAAGATCCGATTTCTTATTTGTACTGTTTCTTCCTCTCTATAAAAAGAATAGTATTAGACTTTTCATATAAATTAAGAAAATTCATTAAATAGTATGTCAATTCATATGCTTTTTTAATTATATTTACTACATTTAAAAAAAAATTTAATGGAGTTGAATAAAAAATATGTAAATTCAATTCTTTAACGTTTTTATAAATAACATATATTTAAAAACATTTAAATAAAAAGGACTCTTTTTTGGTGAAACGAAGTGAATAGTATAAATCAAATGCCTGATGGACTTAAGTAACAATCATGAAATCAAGTTCAAAATTAATCATGACCTGACTTAATTTTAGAACATGTAGCTAGCTAGGGAGGGACTAGAGGTGGTTTATTACGTAGTGCTTCAATTATAAAATTAAAATTAAAAGAAAATTGGGTAATTGTAGTATTTTTTTTTTTTTTTACTATTGGAGTATATATAAATATAATTAAGGTTCTTAAATTAATTAATAATTTAATGGTTATAAAACTTCAGCTCAAGCAAACTATAAGATCATACATACATACATACATACATACATACATATATATATATATATATATATATATATATATATATATTGTTTACGAAGAAATCTAACAATATGAACATTTTAACAAAAATTAACGGTCTATCGTACAATTAGCATTCTAGCTAACTATTACATTACATAAGAGGGCAAGCTAATTAATTTATAAGCCATTAATTGTAAGTTGCTATTGGCAAATCCAAACTTATGATCATCCAAAAGGTACGTTTGATGACAAAACATTGCATAAGATGTCGCCACATCATGAGGCAAAGGAGAATCAGTCAAGTGTGCTATAGCTAGCTAGCCAGGTTCGCATCAGGTAGTTTTTCTAGTTTGTAACGAAGGGTCTAGGGGGGCATATAAGTGGCGCAGTTCCATTGAATTGAAACCCATTTATGGTCCCCCTTCCAAGCCACAAACCTATGTGATTTTGACTATAATGGCAAAGAGGAGCTTTGCATGAAATGAAGGGTTGTCGTTGTTGTTTAGGGTTAGCAAATGTGGGTGCAATTCAATCAAGGGCATGATGTTGGGTGGGGGTGGACCCGTTACCTTGAGAGAGTGAGTGCAATCCATCAAAGGTACTTCCATTAAATCCAAAACTAAAAATGAGTAAATGTGGCTCAGCCCAAGTAGTCTATAAGAAAGCTCTTCTTACTGATAATGCCCAAGATACATAATGAGAGAGGGAGGGAGAGAGAGAGAGAGGACAGTGACTTGTCCTGGGATGGCCTAGAAAAGGTGGAATTATGAACAAGAGAGACAGTTGAGGTTGAGAATAATTGCAAAACGAGTCAAGCATGCACGAATAAAGCAGACTGTTTTTGCAGTAAGAGATCCAAAACTATTATTGAATTACCGTTTCAGATAATACCTACCAAAATCTATAGATACATAGAAATCTATTACCTTTATATATATAGAAACAAACATAGAAAAGAATCGACCTCAAACTCTTGTGCCGGGAATGTTAAGAAACAAATTTTTTAAGCTTTACAACGATTAAAATATTTGGTCTTGGTAGTTCTTAAAAGAAGTGAAGAAAGAAACAAATAACTTTTCTATGTATATACATACGCATAGATGACGAAATTTATATAATAATATTCATATCTTTATCATAGTGTAAAATCACATCTACGATATTGACATATCCAAGTGGCAATTAGATTTTTGCTTTCATTTTTCATGTGATGGGATTCTATGATTGGAAAAATCAGACCCACCCTCTACTCTCTTTTGAAAGGACTATGATCCAGCTAAAACATTAAACAACAATATATATATATATATATATATATATATATATATCATTTCAATAGGAACAAATTGCTTTTTAATATATAAGTACGAATGCATCAGTTTGCCTAAATATGAGTGCCTGCACTACTGCTCGGCCAACACAAAGGATTGAAGATAGTTAAAACAAGGAATATAGCTTTTTGTTAATCACACCTTCTACCGTGTGTTTATCTTTGTATTTATATAACAAGTTATTTACATAGAAGTGTAACTCTATAACATAACATACATAGGAGTGTATATAGGCTATTACTCTTAGAGCCGTGTATTATCTTGCTAATGGCGATCGCTATCTTTAGTTACAGCGGTAGTAACATGTCCGTCCGAGCCGGCTCCAACGGTAACGTGCGTGGTCAAAACTTGTTTCTCCTCGGCGGCTTTAGTGGCGATAGTGGAATGGGGTTCGATACTCCCTCCAAACGAACGAGTGGTTGAGTGGAAGGAGAATGAGTTGTCGGTTTGTTTCTTAAGAACCCGAATCAATCACATAGAAGTGGCTTGGTGAGAGAATCGACAATTTGATCTTGGCCGGAGATAAAATAAACCAAGTAACTCACCCTTAGCAACTTTGTCTCTAACAAAGTGATAATCGATCTCGATGTGTTTTTTCTAAGCATGGAACATGGGATTCACGGCCGAGTAGGTAGCTCTCATGTTGTAACACTAAAGAATGGGAGGGGAATCATAACCGATACATAGTTCATTAAACGGAGATACTAGCCATATGAGCTCTGCTGCAGTGCTCGCAACAACTTTGTATTCGGCCTCCGTGGAGCTTCAGAGATCGTTTTTTATTTGGAAGATTTCCAAGAGACTAGGTTGTTGCCCAGTAGATAGCAAAGCCTTTTGGACTTCCCGTCATCCAAGCATCCGGCCAATCCGAATCAAAGAACCTCTGTAGAATCATTGAGCTCGTTTTGAAATATGCAAACCAAGATGCATAGACTCCTTCAAATACCCGAGGATTCGTTTTACTTGTTGTCCAGGTGATCAATAGTGGGGTGGTGCATGAACCGACAAACCTTGTTAACGACGAAATGCAATGTCGGGACGTGTGAGAATTACATACTTAGAGTGCCCCAACTATTAAGCGATACGGAACTGCATGAGTGGGAGACGAATTAGGGTGAGACCGAAGTTTTGTGACTCGCTAACATTGACATGCTTATAGGCTCGCAATTATCCATTCCAAACTTGTGTAAGAGATCTTTTATGTATTTTTGTTGAGATAGTGCTAAGCCATTAGCTTGTGGAACTACTTGATGCCAAGGAAGTAAGATAAAGGTCATAGATCACGGATTGAGAATCGGTACTGTTCAAGTGCCGCAATTTATGCTAAATATTACGAGTCCGAATTTTCGATGATGATTATGTCGTTAACATATATTAGTATCGGCATGGAGACACCCTCGTGGTTATAGAAAAAGAAAGAACGAGTTTGTTTTAGAGTCGGTGAACCCAGTCGTAACGGAGCGAGTGTGTAGATAAGCAAACCAAACACGGAGAGATTGTTTAAGTCCATAAAGTGATTGGTGTAATTTGCAAACATGCTGCTGGATGTTGTTCCATAAACACAATTTCACGTAGTACTCCATTAAGGAACGTATTATGAACATCAAATTGCTCGATTGTCCAAGACTTAATGATTGCAATGGAGAGAACACACCTTATCGTGGTCGGTTTCACAACGAGGCTAAACGTCTCCGCATAGTGTACTCCCTCCTATTTGTGGAAGCCTTTGGCCACAAGTCCGACTTTATAGTGCTCTAGCTCGCCATCGCCCATCAACATGTTTCTTGATGCGATAAACCTACTTACAGTAGATTACATTCATGCCCTTTTGACGTGGAACTAAGGACCATGTGTCATTCATTGAGCGGAGCATTAACCTCTACTATTATTGCTTTGCACCATTCAAGGAAGTGTTTTGCTAAAGAGTAATAGGTGGGAGCAAGAGGAACGAGTTGGGAGGAAGTAGCCAAGTGTGCTTTTAGAGGTCCCATGGATCGGAGCTTCATTGGATGCTTTTTCACGGGAATGATGACCAAGTGAGGTCGCCGAGGTAAACTATAACTACTAAGATCAATAATAAGATTCAAACCCATTTTATTATTGGTACTCGTTGTGATGAGGGAAGGGAGATCTCGCTGGGTATTGGTCGAAGATCTAGAAAAGTGGTGGAAGGGGTTTGTGTTTAGGTAGGGTCGGTAAACCGGAATGGGAGGCAACTACTCGGAACTCGATTGTGAAAGGGAACGGATGGTGTGGGCGAGGCTGGTGTGGATGATAAGAGAGGCTGCGTTATGGGTCCGTGACTAGTGGAAAAGGCCGAGGCGGATGGCCGAGCAGTGGCGTGTGGTGCGCGAGTGGTGTGGACGAGGCTATTTTGGGTGATGTGGAAGGCCGTGATGGGGGTCGGTGAATGGAGGTTGGAAAAGATGACTAGTGAGAGGCGTGTGTGGCAACTGTGAGTTTTTGAATTTGGTATGTATGGTGCGTGTGTGGGTGTTAACGGATTGAGTTGGAGTGGGTCGAGTTTTATTTGTGAGGCTTAGATTTGTGACGGATGGTAAAGATGGGACGGGCCGGGTCGTTGGTTCTATTCCATGTTAAGATGCTATTAGGTGTGTGGCCACCGATTGGGTGGGTTGGACTACCTGGACCGGCAGAGTGGTGTGAGATCGGGCGGCTCCCCATGGCGAAGGATCGCATACTTTGTGAGCAAAAATCAATATTTTGAGAATTAGTTTCAAAGTAGGGAAAGATGTTTTCAAAAAATTGTACATGTCTTACAATATACATTTTTTTATTTTTAAATTAAGACATCTATATCAAGATGATGTGAGCTATATCCTAGAAAAACACAAGGTACACTTCGTAAGTCCATTTTATGCTTGTTGTATGGCCTAATATGTGGAAAGCACAAACACCTAAAAACTTTTAAAAATGTGTAATCCGGTGTATGAGAGAATAAGAGACCATATAGAGATTTATTTTAAAGGATCAGGGTTAGCATACGATTGATCAAGTACATTATAGTGTCAAATGCTAAATGCCAAAATTGAGGTGGGATTTTTGCCTCCCCCATAAGGGTAAGGTCGGTCTCAACAATGTGACGATGCCGTTGTTCTACTCGTGTCATTTTGCTCATGTGTATGAGGGCACATAAGGTGATGGTCAATACTAATTTGTTGAAAAAACCCGTTTATAAGGGGAATTCGCCTCCCTAATCCGTTTGGACTTTTTTTATTTTGTAATTAAATTATCTTTCGACCAAACTTTGGAATTGCACAAAAGTATTATAAACATCGGATTCTTTGCAAATTAGATAAAACCGGATAAATTTGAAAAAACGATCAATAAAAATCACATAATACTTGTAACCATCAGCAGAGGAGGTAGGTGATGGTCCCCAAACGTCATTAAAAATTAAATCTAAAACAAAATGACTAAAATGGTTGGTGGGATGCAAAGACAGATCTATGAGATTTGCCTAAAGGATATGAAATACATTGATTACTAAATTTACTATCGGTGTGTGGTAAAATATTGTTTGAAAATAAAGTTTGCAGAACTTAAACATACGAGTGTCCCAACCTTAAGTGCCATATTTGAGAGGATGCTTTAGCCGAGAAAGCTTGTGATTGTAGTGGGCTTGGAGACTCTGGAAAGGACATATAAGTTATCTTTCTCGATCCTAAAAAGAGTTGTCTCTATTGACCCTATTCCTTTAAACAAAAAGTAGAAGGATGAAACTCCCAAAATAAATTACTATCTTTGGCTAACTTTTGAATAGAAAGTAAAGGTTTGGTAATGTTTGAAATGTGTAAAACATCTAACAGCTTGAGGGTCCTAGATGGAGTGTGAAGATGATCGGTACCAATATTTTTAATAGGAAGAAACTCACCGTTGCCTACTTGCAGTTGATCGACACCTTGATAAGGTTCATAGTGGCTTAAGGCAACAACATCATGAGTGATATGATGAGAAGCACTCGTATCTCGGGCACCAAACAGATCGGTTGATAAGGGAATTTAGAAAAAGAACTACCATGTTGGCTTGCGGGTTCAATTGCTAGGAGAACCGATAAGAGCAATGCAAGGCCGAATGTCCCCAAGAGTTGCAAATTTGACATCTAGGTGGACTGGATTGGTTCCAATTTTTTCTACCATCATTGTTAAAGGGGCGTCCATTACGGCCACGCCAACGCCCTCTTTGTTGCAATCCTCTACCATAGCCAAAAGGGGTGCCATAATCAAGGTTTGTAGGTGTAGGTCCATGAGTCCGTTGGGTAACACTAGCCATAGGGTGAACGATCGTAGTGGTGGAGGGGAGATAAAGATAAATAAACACTCTAAGTTGGACAAAAATGAAAGATTTGCAATAATAATTTCCCTCAAGGAATGGATCAGTTTGCCAATATAGGAAAATGGATTTAGTATAAAATCCATTCGTCTACAAAGGAAAAAAAATCAAAATTTGAGAAATGATTATGAAAAAATGATTTATAAACAAAATTTTCATGCTAAAATACCATGCAAAAAAACGTGGCAACTAATTTATGATAATATATTAGTCTCCCGAATAATAAATCATTGGCATCTTATTAAAAAAAAGAAAACCACCTTGTGTGTTTTTATGAGAATTTTATGTAAAAAAATTGTAGAAATTTAGAGTTTAAGTAAAGAGATAAACACAAATATGAAACAAAAAATCTTATTCATACTATATATATATATATAAGATGTATTTATAAAAAAAGCTGTAAATTAGTCTACGAGATAATAATCAATATAATCCCTAAATAAATTAAAAGGTTTCTTGTTTGAACCTACCATCTAAAATCTTCCCAATTCTTTTAATGAAACACGTTAAATTCTTCTAAAAATATGTCGACTTATTACATATTATTTGCAATTTAGATGAAAAAAATTAATGGATCACTACCTATATAATTTTGCTAAATAACAATAGATTTTTCCATCGCTATTTGTCAAAAATCCATCACTATATGTAATTAGCGATGGATTAGAAATAATATGTATTTCGTCGCTAATATGATGGTCATTATATTTTTAGCGACTAAATTTCTTTCTTCATTGAAAATCAACAAGGGAATATCCATCACTAAATTATTGAATTTTCATTAATAAAACGAGTTGTCCGTAAATTGATCTAAAATAATCATCCGTAATGTCTTATATCCGTCGTTATGCCTTTGCTATTTTCACTTACATCCATCGCTAATGAGCGATGAAAATTTTATCGTTATATTATAATCGCTAATATCCTCACAATGTCATTGCTAAATCCATCGCTATTTACTCTCACTATTTGGTCGTTAATTTTTCTTAAAAAATGATTAGCCATATATTGTTAATTGTAATAACAAATAACTATAAACCACATCTTATTAAAATATGATATATTATTCAATAAAATTAAAATAGTATAAATTGAAATAAAATAAATATATAAATGCGTTAAGATGTACAAAAATATTTATTTTTTTAAAAAAATAAGAAATCTAGTCCTTATTAGCACCATTTTCAACGTCATTTTTCGATAGCCGAGTGTTGAGAGGAACGATTGTCTCTTGGGTTGTGGGAGGATCAATAGTATGGACGTTAGTATGCTAGAGTTTCCTAATAACCCATCACTCTCTACAAGTGAGTTTGCATGCTCGCTAACTTAATTAGCCTATTACCGGATGGTAGCCTCCATGCATTCCCTTGATCCTATTTTCGTACTAGGTAGAAACATCCCGGATATTACCGACAGGATAGCGCAAAATGACGGAAGAGGAGCTAGCGTCGGAATGTGAGTAACATTGAGACGCATGAGTTTCTATGTTGTACACTCTCTACTTCTTCTCCCTTCCAACGGATAAAAACTAACGACTACTTCTTACATTGATCGCTCTAGCTCCTATATCATTGAAATAATTACAATATTAAATTATAAATATATTTATTAGATTATATTGATAGATACACATATATTTTAAAAAAAATATAAAATTTTATCATTACTATCCGGGATCATCCGTCTACGAACGTCGCATCCTTTCGCTTATACTTATTAACGACTTGTAAGGATTTTGATTACAACTCAATTTATTATGCTAAAAAAATAAATAAAATAATATGAGATGACATAAATATAAAAATTAATTTATAACACAATTAATAATATATGATTTACCAAACACTTAGAGTGCTTGATTAAAGAGATAAACCCTCCAACATGCTTAGATAGGCCAGCACCTAGACCATCCATCTCCGACATACGGTTTCAAGACATCTGCTAAGACCGAACCCGATACTCAAGAGTGGCCCAATGTCGGTGCCATGCTTCCTATACCTTCCGTATAACAAATCCGTTGCTAAATTGTGACATCAAAAATAATGCCGCATTTGTTATTCCGTTGCTATTTTTTCTAGTAAATCCGTCGCTAAATCATCTCTAAAATTCTTGAAAAGATTTTATTGCCAAATTTATTAACGGATTAGTGTATGTCACTAAAAAATCGTCAATATTATATCGCCGATTCAAACAATCGTTATTCTATCGCTATTTGTTTTCTATTTAGTGATGGATATTTGTTCGTTTGTCGCTATTTAGCGAAATTTTGGTAGTGAACATGAATAAAGAGCGAGACTTCAATTGAGGAATATCTAATAATTTAAGGACCTAATCAAAAAATATTTTAGTTTGGTGGTCTAATTGACAATTGGTGGATGATTAAGAAACTAGTTTTGAGGTTTGTTTTATTTTCTTCATGCAAAGATTACAAAAAGAATGCAATTTTAGAAAGAGACAACAATCATAATATCAAACCAATAAGACTATAATATTTTGAGAAATTTTATTGTGAAAGCATCAATTTACTCGGGTGTGGATGATTTAATTAAAACTCGATAAGAAAGAAAATTTAATTTCGTACAAAACATGATATGAGGATATCCTTAACATTAAAAAAAAAAAAAAAAGGAAAGAAAGAATATCAACTATTATATCAATGATGGATTTTGAGTGACATAGCAAAAACTCACAAGAATAAAATAAATACCGTTAATCTAGAAAACTCACACACAAATTTTAG